CTGTTAATGACCAAAGACTCCTGCCCACTAGACGTTAATAGGCCGGACGGAAACAACAGAGAGCTGAGATCTGTATCGATTCCTGTTAGTGTGTGTGGTTGTCCTACTTCGTTATTGACAGCGGTGAATGGATGTAATGAGATCTTCGTGATGGTGTTTATTAAATCGACGAGAGAGAAAGAAAAAACACAAAACAAAACACGACCGACTTTTATCGTGGATCAAAGAGAACTGGCTGTCTGATCACACAAGTTCATAGAGCGGTCAGACCGGCGGCACGAACCATAGAGAACATAGCGAACGAAATATAGAAAACGAGAAGAACGAAAAGAAAAAAAAGGATCTCCATGTGGTATTGAACCACCTGAGAGACGTGTGATGACAGAACATGAAAGAGAAAAGGTTAGCGATAACTATGTACTAACTGTTATCGCTAACACCTTCACCCGTTGGAGAGAAAGAACCTTGCGGGTACGTCATCGGCAGCGGACGAACCCAGAAACCTCGCGTTGTGCAACGTTGAAGGGAAGAGCAAACTGAAACAGTTGTGAAAAAATGAACGGGTATCCCATGTACTCTGGACAAGAACGCGACAACTCCTGTCCGCCGTAGGTACGGCGGCGGGAACGCGTGTCGCCAAAAGCAGCATAAGGACGCCACGTGGAAAGATTATGAAACGAAAAGTGATAATGTTCCTCGTGTGCAGGGGAATAGCGTAGAAACTCCTGCCAGCCGTAGGTACGGCGGCGGGAACGCGTACCACCAGAAACAGCAAGAAGACACCACCGAAAAAACAAAAACGACAGAAAGTACGCTATGTAGTTCACAGATTGAGAAGAGAAAAAACAAACGAAACAGCGTAGACTGCAAGCGAGAAAAAAAAAAAAGAAAAAAATTCATCAGGCAAAAGCGTCCTGAGGGACACTCATGTCGGCAAGGCGAAGATCTTCGGGGTTATTAAAGCGTAACCGAACAGCATTGCGACGAATGGGGGAGATCTTTGCGATCGGAATGTGACGGTCGTGTAAGTATTTTTTGATGGATGAAGGAGACCAAGAGGAAGACACGCGACGGGTAATTTGATGTTGTTGTTGTTTGAGTGTCATCTGTTGATGACGATGATGATTTCGACGGGTTACGGCAGCAGGAGATCGGCCAACGGTTTTTAATGGTAAGGTGGAAGGTATTGACGACAGATATGCGAAATAATTAGTGAGAGAATCCGGAACGAGGTGCCGGTATTGCAAATGTATATGCATATTGTCCGGACCGAGATGAGACTCCGTAACATGAAAATCAATGAGGGTAAAATTGAGGCTGTCGGCCAGGTTGTGGAGGAGAAAGTTGTAGTGGTTGATGTTGTCGATGAGGGAGTGTCGAGTATGGAGCGGGTAATGGGGTTTCAAGCATGGGAAGCAAGAAACGATGCTGATTGAATGCTTGTGGGACAGGTGGGGGTGGTGCGCACGAACAGCGGTAATGACGGTGTCGACTTGGGAGAGAATGGTAGAAGCGGGAAGAAACCGAACAGAGTTCGTCCCAATAAGAAATAAGACGGCCGACGCGGAAGACAGCAGCGACGACAACGAAGATGACGACAACAAATGTAGTGCAGATAAATCTGGACGATAAGTGTCGATCCATTTGAGACCCGAGATGGCGTGCACTTTGATGGAATAGGTGGACGTTTCGATGGTGGATGGTGTGAATTTACCATGACTGTCGGTTAACGCTAAGTAATGAGGAACGGCATAAGGTGTGAACGACGGAGGAGATGAAGTGGTCATTGCTAATAGATGAGCTAAATAGATGAATGATAATGGATAGGATGTACCTAAATTAGAAAGAACGTGACGTATATTAGAGAGAAGAGAAAAAAAAGAAAGAAAGAAAGAAGTATATATATCTATGTGTATATCCCGATCTATTGTATAGCAGGATCGAACACGGATCGGCATGCGCAAAAAAATAGATATGTGACGATGGAATCTCATCGGGTGACGTCCAAGATAGAAATAAAGCGAGATGAATCGAAGGTGTGGGCTAATGGAAGGATAGAAATCGGACGGCTGGCAGATGCAGTCTGAAAAAAAAATGTAGTGAGGGAATATAGTTATTGGAAGATACTAAGGAGCACAGTAGAACGTGCGGATCGTTCCAACCAAGAAACACTTAAACTGATCAAAGGAAGGGGAACTAGGAAGAAAAGAAGCTAAGGGGTAATGATCGGTCGTAGATCACTAACGTGAACACGAGATTCGTTATTAGTTTGATCGTCACGAACAACGTACGTGGGATGAAGTGTACGGATGATTGTTTTAGGGCTCGGTGTGAACAACGGGGCGAGTTTGTTCGCAGTTCCATGGATGCGTGTAAGCACGCGATCGCCGACCTCATAGGACGGATCGGAACGGTTTCGGTCGTAAAAGATTTTATTACGAGCCTGTTGTTGTACTATATTGGACCGAGCCGAACGATGAAAGATGTGTAGCGTTTTTTGGAGTTGCGCCAGATAGTCGTGAGAAGACGGAAGAGAAAGATATGATGGAGGTAAATGAAAGGGTAGACGTGGGGAACGACCGTACAATAGTTCATAGGGAGAATATTGTGTGGTTTTATGGATGCCGGAATTATAGGCAAACACGACCGCTTGTAAGTATTCGTCCCAGTTATTGTGTTCGGAATCTTGCAATTTCGAAATTTGGGGAATGAACGTGCTGTTGAAGCGTTCAACGATTCCGTTGGTTTGGGGATGATACGCTGTACTGAAGATATGATTAAAACCGACTAGGGAACGCATATCATGCATGAGCTGATTGTGGAAATGGCTGCCTTGGTCACTGACAATTACACAAGGGACGCCAAATTTGCAAAAGTACTCATTGAAAAGTGCTTCAGCGGTAGTCGTGGCAGAACAGTTGGGGAGGGGAATAGCAACGACATGACGAGCGAAATAGTCGGTGATTATTAATACGTAACGGTTCTCGCGAGGGGTCCTATTGAGAGGCCCACAGTAGTCGATACCGATGATCTGAAAAGGACCGTCGGGAGGAGGAACCGTACGAAGGCGACCCGGTTTCTTTTGACGACTAACGTTAAATTGTTGACACAGCTGTAGGGAGCTGCGGGGGACTCCGAAACCCGATTATGACTCCGACTCCGTCGGAGTCGGAGTCGGAGCCGGAGTTCATATAACATATTTTTCCGGAGTCGGAGTCGGAGTCGGAGTTCATATAACATATTTTTCCGGAGTCGGAGTCGGAGTCGGAGTTCGTAAAGCATAATTTTTCGGAGTCGGAGTCGGAGTCGGATTGACTGAAAAAATTTTTCGGAGTCAAATCTTATTCGAAGTTATGACTATACCTTATGGAATTTCATATTTTTTTGGACACAATAGTTTTATTTTTCCTATTAATAAACATAAAAAAGACAACAGTTCGTATATAGGTTAAGAATGACTTTCAACACAAAAAAAAGAATCATTTTCTCGTCGTGTTGTAAGAGCAATTATATGAAATATCAGAACATTAATCAAGGAATGTTTCAATATCATCTGTAGAACTATAATTATCTTCGTCATCAATCCTTGCTCGTTTGGCCATGGTGTATGAAGAATCTTCGGAAGACATAGTGGTTGTCGAAGACATCGAAACAGTTCTTTTTCTCCTTTTTTCTTGAAAGAGCTGTTTTAATGTAGATAAATTCTTTTGTAGGAATAATAATTGATTGATTTTTTCAGATCCTAAGTTGGTGCGTTTTCCATCAACTGTATTTTTTGCAGCTGAGAACAATCTCTCGATGATAGTGTTAGATGCCGGAATTGCACATATTTGTTTAGCTATATTTGATAAAGTAGGAAATTGTTGCTGTTTTTCTTTCCAGTATGACAAAATATCGATATCACCATCTTCATAATATTTCCCATTATAATCATCAGAATGATCCAGATTCAAATAATCATCAATTTCCTGATGAGGATTAGGCGCTTTAGCATTCGGGCTGATTGTGACATCAAAGCATTGAGTTAAAAGACTCTTACTTTTGAACATTGGGATACTTGTATCTGTGTTTGAAGAAGATAGGGCTAAATTTTGATTAGAATTGAATAATGAGGGAACTGATGGTGTTGAAATATTCGATCGATGTTTATCAAATGCCAGTTTCAATTCAGAAACTGCATTTTGTTTTTCATCATGACAAATATCAAAATGTTTTAATTTCGGATGGAGAATTGTCGCTAATCGATGCTCTGATGTAACAGACCAAATTTGTTTTATTCGACGAGCTAAAAACACAGACAACATCAGTACAGAAATAATAAAAAAAGGCATTCATTAGAAGACCTTTCTTTAGGAATCAAAATTTTAAAGATAACTCGCTCAATTTTCTTACCTAAGAATAATTTCAACTCCACTACGACTGTTGAATCTTTCTCATTGGTTTCACATTTATTAATCAGGCACTGACGCAATGGAATTACTCGGTGTAGAGTAGGTCGTTGATCTTCACTAAGGACTTCAAGGACTTCTTCGAATGGTTTGAGAAATTGACAGATGGCATCAAGGGATTCTTTATCAATTGAATTATAATTGTCCATTGATTTTGTATTAGTTAATATCGATGGCAATTCATAAAACACTTTCTGAAAGATATCGAGCATGATCATAGCACCGTTGAATCTTGTCTCACTATAAGTCTGTAATTTCCTTGATAGTTGTTGTTGGCGATGTGAACGTCTAACATGAGTAACAATGTTTTTCACCTGAAGGAAAACAGTTTGAGCTGTTCCACAATTCACTTTATCAACAGTAAATTTATTGACATGAATTTCACTTGATTCAAACGCGTGCTGTAACTGCTTGTTCAGATAGTGATCGGAACATCCAATTCGTCTGCATTTTTCGCGAAATGCTGCGACCATCTTCGGTTCATTGTCGCTAACAACAAATTTTGATTCATCAAGTTGTAAATTATATTCTTGTAATTTACTATCAACAAAATCACGAAAATGTGCGGCTGAATGACTGGGTGCGTCATACACATAACAACCAAGGATAAATGAAAGTAATTTAAAATCATCATCCACATGACGTAAAGCAATTCCACAATAATTGATTCCTAAACAAAAGTAAAAAACGTTTACGTGTATGGATACCTAGCAAACTAATGAATAGTATTCTTACCCGTGAATGCTTCCGTCCAGTTATCTACTATCAAACAGAAGCTTTTCAAGCTTTCACAAATACTAATCAACTGTGTCTTTGATTGCTCATATATTCTCACAACATTCCTACTAATCTAAAATTAGAAAAAAAATATGATGAAAAACAATATCAAACTTTTTTGAAAAATTTATTTTTCTTACGGTGGTAGGATGAGGAAGAATATCTTCTATTTGTACAGACGAATTCTGTAATAAACGACCGGCATCAAATAAGACGTGGGCTAGAGTTTGAAAACCACTTCCTTTCATCGTTGCAAATGCACGCCCATCTAATGCTGAAAACTCAGCGCATGCTTGTGTCACGGATAGTTTGATTTTGTTTGGAATTTTCAATGGTTTCGAAGATGAATAAAAATCACGAACTGTTGTTTGATATAGATCACTTATGTTTGTTTCCGTTTTTGAACACGATGCCAAATGAGATTTCAAATTATTGGTACCATTTGCTGACGTAAATGCCAATATTCTTTTGCATTCGTTACAAGAAACAAAGGCCTGTTGATCATGGTTGACAAAGATCTGATGAAAATGCCCCCACATTTGGCTAGAGTTTGTGTTTTTTTTCTTTTGCACAAACCTAATAGATTCATGGTTATCATCTATTAGTTTTTGAAGTTCTTTCCTTGTCAGAATTTTCTTGGTCATGTTTATTTTCCACCTTCGATCAACAACGAAAGAAAAGTTCGGGACTAGCTAGTATGAACATGCTTCTTGAATTTTATTCGTTCGTTCGTTTTTCATCCACTTACACGTTGTAAAATTTAACCACTAAAATACATGAGAGGTCGCCTATCACCACTAAGAAAATTTCGGAGCTTTTCGGAGTTTGGGATCGGAGTCGGAGCCGGAGTCAAAAAATAAAAAGTCGGAGTCGGAGTCGGAATCAAAAAATAAAAACTCTCGGAGTTGGAGTCGGAGTCGAAGTCAACGGAAAGGAAATTTTCGGAGTCGGAGTCGGGTTTCGGAGTCAAAAAACTTGCCTCCGCAGCTCCCTACCTGATGGGAGCTCTTGTCGGTTTCGACCGTATCCGTGAATCAGAACTGACAAAATCCGGTCGGATCTTTTCCAACGTAATCCGCGTCGGAATCCGTTAGTTAGGGTTGCGGTAAAAATCGTATGGATTCCGGTCGGTTTTGGTCGAGAAAAGGACGATTTCCGACAGAATCCGATGTCGAATCTGCCTGTCGTAATGAATCGCCTGGGCATCTCCACTCCGCAGTATTTGAAACTATATCTAACCGACGTGCATAATGCCGCGGTCGCATTCATACTCATCGCGGTTCCCAATCAACGTGATTAAAAGAAAGCGAAACAGGTCGTGGTAAGCAACGATTTTACTTTGAATTTTTTCCGTAGGTAACCATGTGCAATCCATAGAAGTAGAGACAGTTGAATGAGCATCAACTAGAAAAAGTATTCACTCTAGAGGAATACATAATAAATTCTTTGCTATATTACTAGATCCGAGAGTGAAAATGAATGTATTTCAATATAACATTTCCCCCCAAATGAACACGATTGAATACTCATAATTATGAACGAAAGCCAGGATTGCTCAGATCTGTGATTGTCAGAATTGAATATAATTCAAAATCATATTAGATAAAAAAACCTATATGAATATTTGCTTTAACTACAAATCTGAAGTTAATCATCAAGTCGTACTAAAGATCACCTAGAATGGTCATTTACTTTATATGATATTGTCCATAATGGTAGTGTTTATCAAGACAATCATATGTTGTTCGTGTCAACAACCATTTTCTAGGTCCATTAAATAAGAAATGTTTATTTACAAACAGTTTGTCATTATTAAAATAAGATATTTATTTTCTATCAATGATAAATGAAGACAATAATTAAATATATTAAAAGACGAAAGTCATTTTGATTGTTAGTTTTCTGTTTTAAAATGATCAATCTAAATCTTCATTATTCATATATAATATATTATTATTTTTACGTTCAGTTGGCGTTTTTTTTCTTTTTTTAATGTTAACCCCGTGTCACGATGTCATTGAGTACTTGCGCTATTAGTAGTTGTCCATATATTCGTTGATGGATCATATAATTCAGCAGTGTATGGTACATCACTACTATCGTCACCATATCCACCAGTAATTAATACTTTTCCATTGGTTAAAACGGATGCTGTATGAGTTTGTCGTGCATAAGTCATGTTTTCGATATTAGTCCAAATTTCTGTTGATGGATCATATAATTCAGCAGTATTCAAAGTACTACCAGAAATAGATCCGCCAGTTACTAACACTTTGCCATTTTTTAATACGGATGCTGTGTGAGATGTTCTAACATAATTCATACTACCAGTAATTGTCCAAAGTTCCGTTAACGGATCATACAATTCAGCTATATTTATAGCTTCGACATCATTCCATCCACCCGTAACTAATACTTTCCCATTTGTTAATATCGATGCTGTGTGATACTGTCGTATATGATACATTCCATCAGTAAATGTCCAATTTCCTGTTGATGGATCATATAATTCAGCACTAGATAAACCCCAAACATAGACTCCACCCGTAACTAATACTTTTCCATTTGTTAAGAGAGTTGCTGTGTGTCTGGTTCGTCCTTGATTCATATTGCTTGTAACTGTCCAAATTCCTTTAGAAGGATCATACCATTCGGCACTACTTAAAAATCCCTCTTCATTGTTTCTTCCACCAGCAACTAACACGTTTCCATTGGTTAATGTAGTTGATGTATGTTGCTTTCGACTAGAATGCATTTTACTATTAACTGTCCAATTTCCTATTAATGGATCATACAATTCAGTAGTACGTAGAGTATCTCTGGAATGATCCTCCTCTCCGCCAGTAACTAATACTTTTCCATTTGGTAATAAAGAAACTGCATGTTGATATCGCATGTTATCTAATGTGCCACTGACTGTCCAAGTGTCTGATGATAGATTATATAACTCAGTATGGACATCGCCTAGACCAACAATTAATACTTTTCCATCTGTTAATATAGACGCTGTGTGCATAGCTCGTTCATAATTAAGTCGACTAGTATTAGACCATCCTAGATAAAAATATTTTTAATTATTTATTTAATTTGAATAAACTTTCAACATGATCTAATTATCTATGAATACACTAAAATTTTTATTAAATCTTCAGGATGGATGTGAGCGCATCAATTTACTAGCACAATTTGTCCTGTAAAAATCGACTAATGAGGCACTCTATTCGTGCAGTACTTACAGGTCTCTATAGGACGGCAAAAACATTGCATTAACATCACTGACTTAGATGCATTAGTCTAAATCCTACCTGATAGATTAGCATTGGCCGTAGTTTTCGCGATGTTGATTGTAGTAGCTTGTCGTTTTCTCGGTGTAGCGATAGCCAAAGCCAATATCAGCGAGAGAATAACTGGAAAAAAATGTTAAAACAGTATAAGAATAAAAAGATACTGATGATTGCAATCCAAGAAATGATAGAATCACGATCATCCTCTATTTAATCTTCTAAAGATATCTTGAGGGTAACATACATGTAATACTCGAAACTTGAATTCAGTTATTACTTCAGTTATTCAACTATTGTACTTGAATACCTGGATTTTCAGTTGATGGTGCAAGTGAGGGTGTCTGTGGGGTATCATCTGAGTGAGGGTGTAGGAGAGGGTGTCTATGGAGTATCATTTAAGAATACCTGAATAACTCAAAAACTGAATATCTGAAGTAATAGTTGAATAACTGAATTCAGTTTCGAGTTTGACACTACTGGAGGGTAATACTCTTTTCTTCACCCTCATTCTCAAGGGCACTAGGACAATTCGTCGACGGACAATTCGTCGACGGACAATTCGTCGCGGACAATTCGTCGCCTGGACAATTCGTCGACGGACAATTCGTCGACGGACAATTCGTCGACGGACAATTCGTCGCCTGGACAATTCGTCGCCTGGACAATTCGTCGCCATCATAATATTATTAATTGGCAGCATTACATATGTAAATCAATTAATAAAAAAAGCTAC